TCAGCCAGACCCCGGCAGTAATCAGCAACTTCGAGGACTCTCAAACTGGGTTTTCCAAAAGGCCGCATGGACGGCCACCACCGTTCCCATTAGAACCTTGTGCAGGTCCTGTGTCCAGGCCCACAACCTGCTCAGCAGGAAACAAGCGTTTAAGAGTCCTTAAAAATCCATTCCCTGAGCTTAAACCAGAGATCCCTCCCCAAAGGCCAGCAAGAGAACTGTAAAAAGCCTGGCTCTCCTTTTGCCTGTGTTCCCAGATGGCCACAGCCCACCCAGGTGGGGCCTAACCCCCACCACCACTGCCTTCTTCATGGAAGAAAAACGGGAGCCAGTGAGACCACCAAGCCCAGATTACTCTCAGGCTGGGACCTCAGCACAAGCTCCTCGCACACCTGTGGGTTACACTTCATACTGTTCTCTGGGCTATACGGGACCACAGATGAATCCGGCACAGTGCCTGCCCTCAGACAGCTTCTATTCAAAGTAAGGAGTACAGGGGCGCCTGGGTGCCTCAGTTACATTACGCATCTGCCTTTGGCTCAGGTCATGGTCCCAGGACTGAGCCCCGCATTGGGCTCCCTGCTGGGCAGGAAGCCTGCTTCTCCCTCTCCCACTCCCCCTGCTTGTGCTCCCTCTCTCGCTGTGTCTCTCTCTGTCAAATAAATAAATAAAATCTTTTAAATGAATAAGTGAACGAATAAATAAAACAAGGAGCACAGAGCAGAGACCCAGTTAACAAGACCAGCCATCATTCCAAACAGCTAACTCCCAGAGGCACTGCCAAGTATCTCCAGGTGCACCTCCTTCTGATCACGGGGTAGTGGACCCTGCCCTTTTCCTCCTTTAAGGTCACCCAAAAACAAAACGCCTGGGGCTGTTCAGGGCCATCTTTGCAACTTCCTCTGGGGCCAGATTATAACTAGTTTTATGCAGTCTCTAGGCACCAACTGGCAGGCCCAGAAAGTTCCTTCACCACAGGGCCTGCCTGGCTGTCCTGCGTGCGCCACGGGACCCTCAGGGGGTGTGGTCTGGCTGATGACCACCACTTCCCCAGGCCTCACCCTCCACAGCCCATCCCTGCTTCCTGAGCCAGGGCAGGGCCCCCAGGAAACCGCTCACCACAGCTTTGATAGGAGTCTTAGAGCAGGCCCCTCCCTTTGAAGTCTGAGACTCCACAGACTGGCTGGGCGGACGCAGCACAAAGCTGAGCAGTTAAGAGGTCCAGGCAGAACCCGAGATAAGGCTCCATCTGAATCCTCTTGCCACCTATGCTATCTGCCCAGCCCTCCCCTCTCATCTTCCCCCACCCCTTTTTCCCTCCATCTCTGAACGTAACTTTTGTACAGGAGGCTAGGAGAGGGGCGAATAGCCTTCCCTGCTGGGAGGCCGAGCAGAGAGGCCAGGGACCATGGCGTGATTCATCAGGGTTGGTTAGAAGCTGGGGGAATTCCAGAGCAAGGGAAGGTCAGGGCTGCCCCCAGTTCGCCCTGTCCTGGGGCAAGCAGCCCACACCTGGGAGTCCTGCATCCTCACCCAGACCAACCATCGGAAATCTAGGATACGGTAGAAAAGTCTCCCTAACTGGGAAGTCTGCACTAACTAGGGTTTCTGTTTTTATCTCCCTCCAATTCCCCACCCCTGCCCAACATTTGAAATGCAAAGCCTTTTATCCAGAGTCCTTAGCAATGGCATGAAATATCTTGGGCTACCACCCCCCCCCCGCCCACACACAATTTGGTTGGAGAAATAATACGACTATCATTTATTGAAAACCTCTGTGGGCTTTGCTGAGCATTTAACACATTCTCATTGTTCATTCTCACAAGATACTGAACGTGGTAGGTATGATGACTAACTCCATTTTACAGGTGAGAAACAGGCTCAGAGGAGTTCAGCACCAAGGGGCTAGCAAGCTGGAAAGCTGGGATCCGAACCCAGGTGCATCCAATTCCAAACCCTGCCCCTCAATCCCCCAGTGGGTTGCTCCAACTGGGAGTCAAGCAAAGGCGATAAGAGATGAAGGGAAATTCTTCCCTGAGGCATTATCTCCAACATCCCTCGCTCAGGAGGCTTCCCAGGCCACCCCATCTAAAATGCCATCTCAACCCCTCCGTGGCAACGCACATCCACCACCTCCTTGCCTATCACATGTTTCTACTTATCACTGACGTTTTTTTTTTTTTTAAACTGATATGCTTTCTATTTCACTTTCTATCTTGCTGTCAGCTTCCCCCACTACAAGTCAGTTCCAGGTCAATATTTGTATATTTCGTTCACTGCATCTATAGTCATATACGGTAGGCACTAAATAAATGTTGAATGAATACTTAAAAATAAAACTAAGAAGCATAATTGTAGGAAGAAAAAAAAGGACGATCCATCCATTCAGGGGAAGAAGGAGATGAGAAAAGAAAGTGTGGCCAGGAGCAAGTTAGGAGCCTTAAGAGGAGCCCAAGAGGAGGAAATGAGGGTCTGCCAGGTCCCCTGTGGATTCCACTAGAGCCTTCCTGCACAGTAGTGACTTCGAGCTGCCAAGGCTCCAGCCTGAGGGCTTCTGCTGGGGAGGGTGGGCAGGCAGCTTTGGAACAAAGGCCTATGGACATGCAGCTGGCCAGAGAGTCAGACCAGAGCAGAGGCCAGGGCCAGAGGGGCAGCCTGGGGTAGTGGGGAGGGAGGTAAATGAGGAGCTGAAGAAGGGCCTCAGTGCAGCTGCAAAGGCAACACGCTCCCAAAGCCCAGAGTCCCCTCAACCCCCAACACAACAGAGAATAACTCGATGGCTCCTCAATTAACCCTCCAAAGTCAGCGCCCCAGCCTGGGCTTGTGGCAACCCCTCCAGGCTTGGAGCCAGAGGCTTCACAAGGTTCTGAGAGGGGGTGGAGGTGAAGGGGCAAGCCACACATCTGGAACACAGTCCCTTTTCCCCTCCAGCCCTGGTCATCCCTCAGGCCATAGCCTTTGGCCTCCTCCGGTGTAAACACAGTGACCCTGGGTTAGCTGTGGATTTGGTAAGCCAAATGTTTACTCTGGAGCTGAGATATCACAGGCCACAGATGTAAAGTTCCACCATAGGATCCTCGTATTTACCATCTCCTGTGGCACACATGGGACATATCCAGTAAACTTTAAAGCTCTCGAGAGCCTCTCCTAGCCACAGTGAGCCCTTTATTTTGTATAAGAGTTTATGGAGCACTTTCCACGATCTGGCTTCATTTGATCCCTACCACAACCTCTATAAGGAAGAGAAGGCCAAGTACCTTGCTTTACTCACGTGGAAACTGAGTCTGAAAGATATGTGATTCGCCCAGGTCATGTTGGAGAAAACAGAGATTAGCCAGAGCAGGAAATCTGAGTTCTAGTCCCTATTTGGCCAACAGGGACCAGGCTCAAATCATCTCACATCTCTGGGATCTGCTTCCTTCATGTGTAGATAGGCTAATCAGAGGTGCCTTCCAGAACTAGCGATGCCACCAATCTTTAATGGTATGCAGTAGAGCCAGGATTAAAATTCAAGCAAAATCCTGTGCTGGACTCCCAGGCCCGTGCTCTTTCCACTCTTCCTGATAGGCCATATCTAATAAAAGGCCACATCCAATAAAAGTGGAAAAGCCCCCAGAACAACCCTTAAACCACTCCCTCTGCTTCTAGGACTTGGTTTACCCCATGCTGACTCCCTGCCCTATCCCCAGAGCAAGATACCAGGGAGCCAAGGGGTTGCCCAGCCCCTGGGGTAAGAGAACGGGTTCAGCAGAAGCAGCAGGAGCATTAACAGCAGGCTTAGAAGGAAGAGATGAGGCACCCGGGGATCACTGGAAGGGGTGAATGACGAAGGTACACCTTCCTTTGGTTCTTACTCTCTAGGTTTTCTGCTGGGGATGGTTGGAATGAAGTCATTCCCAGCTTAAGGCAATCAGGATTCCACTCCCAGTCCATCAAGGGAGGTGCTGGAAAAGCACTCTCCTAAAAGGAAGCAGGCGACGTGCTCAGAAGGGAAGCCCTCCTGCGCTGTCATTACTCTCCCTACTTATTATTTCTTAAGGTCGATGTGATTAGGCTGCATGAAGAGGCAGGGCTGGGGAGACTCAAAGAACCCCTAGTCTAGGGTTCCATATAGGAGAACGCAGTCTGAGTCGCCTCCACAGGGGCTCCAGAGAAGACAGCCTCCTTGATCTGCCAACAGTTTAGCAAGTGACCTGGAGGAAGAAACTCTTACCGCGGCCACTAACACCGCCCCCCCCAGGCCACACCTCTCCAGCCTCCTACCATTACATTTCCCACTCCATTCTTTGTTTTCAAAAGCAGCTCCAAAGAGTAAAAGTAGCTACCCTAAAATGTCTTGAAATTTCCAGGTCTCATCCTAGCTTTCCAAACCAAAGGCCTGAGAATGGGGAGAAAAGTAACCAGATTTCAGGAGTGGGCGAGGTCGAGGCCGACAGTGGCAGGCGGTGGTCTCTGTGCCTTCGGCTCCCGACATCGCCTTTCTGGCACCCACTCTAACCCTTCCAGGACAGGAGCTGAGATTCCCAAGAATGAACACCATGTGCACCAACCCGAAACACGCCGCTGGCGCCCCTTGGGCTCCCGGGACCAGAGGCTGAGGTCCCTCCCCAGAAGGGTCCACCCGGCCCGAGTCCCACAGTTCGAGGCAAGGGCCAGCCCTCGGGCGCCCGAGCGCGCAGGGGGAGCGGGCGGGCGCAGCCTCGCGGGCTTCCCGGCTTTCAAACGGAGCTTCCCGGAGCCACCTGGAGCGCTCGCTCCTTTTGTTTCCGGGGTGGAGACTACAGGACAGAAAAGGACTCCGTGCATGAGCCTCCCGCCCTCCGGTCCTCTGCCGGGGGGCTCGCCCCGGAAGGCGCCAACACAGCCCCGGGCCCTCCTCAGCCGCCCGGAGTCCTCACCCCGCGGGGGGCTGGGGCGAGGGCCCGGGAGGGAGGGGGCCGCGGAGGGGCTCTGGGCGCTGCCACTAGCCGAGGGAGAGGGGAGAAGCGAGGGCCACTCACCGCGCGGTCGCCGCCCCGCCGGGTCCGGCACGCTCCGCGCGCGAGGCTGGCCAGGTGCGGCCGCGACGCAGGCGCGAGTTTGAAAGTCGCTCTCCGCAGGCGCTGAGGCTGCCGGCCGCTCCCGCCCACTGCCCAGCCCCTCGGCTGCCCGGGACGCGGCCAGCTGCTGACGCGGCCCCCGGGGACCCCAGCCCGCGCGCTCCTTCCCAGCGCCCGGCAGGAAGTCGGGGCCGGGCGAGCGGAGCCGGAGCTGCCGCGGGAGGGAGGAGAGAGGGAGGGGCGGGCCAGGAATTTTTCCAGTGGGTGGAGACTCAGGCCGGCCGCTGGAATCCAGCAATTGGCGGCTCCGCGGGGACCCGGAGAACCTTCGCGTCGCGGCGAGCCGGGGCCCGGGGTGAAGGGGATTGTGCGCCACTAATGATTAACGCCCGCAGGTGGGGCGAGCGCGCTGCCCCGCCGGTGACCGTCCCGCGTGAGCCGCTCCCCCGCCGCCTAGGTGCTGGCAGATACAAAGACGCACGTGGTGGGGGTCACCCCGGTGTCACAGCCAGACACCTCCCATTGTGCGGATAGGAAAGGGGGCGTTCTAGGAAGACATTAGCTGGGATCGGCTTTGGGGGGTCTCGATCCTACCAGAGCAGGTCATCTTGGCTTTTGAGTCAGAAAGGCATTTACATGAATATCTCACCGCAGCTCGGTCCCTGTGATCCTTTACAAATGTAAATCCAAGCCTCGAGGAAGCTGAAGAGATGAAGAAACGGGTAACTTGGCGGGAGCCCACCAAAAGACTGCTAGGGAGATAAAGCAAGATGCAGAAACCTGTGTAATAGAGAACCACGTTTTTGTAAAACGAAGACAGAACCTGTCTCTTCTTTTTATGTCTGTACGTAATCCTATGGGCATGGGAAGGTACACACCTGGAAGGGGGTCACGAACACTGAATAAGGACAGGCTGGATTTTGTGCAAGATCGTTAAGTTTTAAAACGCAAAATGATTTCATCAATAAAGATGGAAAAAAGATGCTGTCCCCGCACAGGGCAGGAGAGAAGCCCCGGGTGGGGCCCCAGAAGAGATCCCACTGGTTAGGCATTATCACCAGTTCCTAGGGAGGAGGAATGGAACACTGATACCGAATCACTGGGTTCTGTGTAGACAAGTGTGTATAGTAAACGGCAAAGAGAGTTCTTGTTAAAAAGAAAACAAGCTTTAAAAAAAAAAAAACAACCCTGCTCCAGGCAAATGCAAACTCCAGGTGATTTACATGGGGCGGGGTGGGGGGGGAACGGGCGCGGAAGGAAATGGCTTTCAGGTGACTTTGAAACAGGATCCAGGCAGAGAGTGGGGTGGAGACAGCGGGGCTCCTGGCTCCCGACTGCCGGGGAAGAGGTAAGCGCGGGGCCTCATCGGCCCCGGAAGCGGGACCCACATTCCTCGGGGAGGGAGGGTAGGCTCCAACCTTGCCGAGCCCTACGTTCGCCTCCTGGGAAGGTGAAAGCCGAGATTGCGGAAGGAGTTTGGGGGTAAACCGCCGCGGCTCCACCAGCTATAGCCAGCCAGGCCCCCCACTGAAAAAAGTGAAAAGCCCCAAGTCCCTTCCTGTGTTCCAGCGGGGGGGGGGGTGTTTTTCTTCCTCATACTTCCGCCTTTCTTTGAGCCTGCTTTCTTCTGATCACCTGAATCCTATCCCGTTCTGTCCATCTCAAATTCCAGGTTCCAAAGAAGGCCCTTGACTTAACTAAGCCATTACTGAGTGCACCCCTCGCTCCTCGGGCAGGAAATAGTGTCAATTACAGTAATAATAACTCATTTAGTGGATACTTACCATTTGTAGGGCCCAGTGCTATGCTATTTACATTATCTCCCTCCATCCTCACAGTTAACCTTGTGAGCTAGTCAGTATCCTTATCCCCATTTTACGGATAAGTGAGGATCAGAAGGTACCTAGCAACTTGACCAAGATTACATAACCAGCAAAAGCAGACCCTGACAAGATTCCAGAGAAGTCCAACATTTGAGTGCTTACTATGTGCTAACCATTATTCTAAGCCCTTTGTACAGTTATGGTCACAGAAGAAACGGAGGCAAGCTCACGCAGTTAGTGTGTGATAGACCTGGGCAAAGCTGATCTTCATCACCATCTATTCTGCTTTCTTTTTGACACCTGTTATATTCAATTCAGCACTTCATTATAATGCCTTGCATTGCTTAATTGTTTTAATGTACATAACCTATTTCCTAAAAAGATTGTAATCTTTCCTTATGGCAGAGTCATATAGGAAGCACTCTATAAAGCAATGCTGAATTCAGATGAAATAACCCAAACAGTTTGTGAGAAATCCTATCTCGCCTCTAAAGATAAAAACTTGTGTCTGGGCCCAGACTTCAGCGATCAGAGCCTCTCCTTCCTGCCCCTTCGGGGATCCTTGCTTTAGTGGCTGCACTCTCCCTATTAAATCATTTATTATTATAATAATACCTTGTGCTCCAGTAATGCCTTTAATCCAAGATCTCAAAGTGTTTTAACAAATACAGATTAATGCATCTTCACAGTATCCCCACTAAGATAGGCAGATGGAGGTATTCTCCCCCATTTTATGGGTGAGAAAACCAGGACAGCACAGAGAATTGAAATGACTCAACTATGGAAATCAGTGGAAGGGTTTCTTCTCCCAGCCCTTCCCCTTCTCCTTCCTAACTCTTGGCTGCCAACATCTGCATCAAAATTTCAAATCCCAGAGACAAAGACCATTGAGTTTTTACAATAAGGGACATTTCCAAACTGTCCTTTCAGCTGCTCTATTGTGGTAGACCTCAGGAGAGGGAGGGGATGTAAAGACTGAGAAGGTCCTGAGGCTCTGTGCTTCCAGCCCTGAGAAGGAACCCGGGCTTGCTGGGGTTGGGGAGGAAGTCCTCCTCCAAGGTGACCTAAAAAACCCAACCAAGCTTTGAGGTCTCAAAACTTCCAGAGTTTCGAGTTGCATTTTAGTAATGTTTCTTAAAGTGTGCACCACAAGCAACAAGAGAATAAACGAAACGTCATCAAAATCTAAAACTTTTATGCCTCAAGGGGCATCAAGAAAGTAAAAAAAAAAAACAAAAGAGAAAATTGTTGGAAATCATAAATCTGATGAGATTTTATCTAGAATATGTAAAGAATCCCTACAAGCAAATAACCCAAATAAAAAAGCAACCCAGTTTAAAAATGGGCAAAAAAAATCTAAATAGACATTTCTCCAAAGATATACAGATGGCCAATAAGTACATGAAAAGACGCTCAACAACCTTAGCCACCACAGAAATGCAAATCAAACGACAACAACGAGGGGCACCTGGCTAGCTTAGTTGGTGGAGCATGTGACTCTTGATCTCTGGGGTCATGATTTCAAGCCCCATGTTGGGTGTGGAGCCTACTTAAAAAAAAAAGTTTAAAAAAATTTTTTTTAAGATTTTATTTATTTATTTGACAGAGAGACACACAGTGAGAACAGGAACACAAGCAAGGGGAGTGGGAGAGGGAGAAGCAGGCTTCCCGCTGAGCGGGTAGCCCGATGTGGGACTCGATCCCAGGACCCCGGAATCATGACCTGAGCCGAAGGCAGACGCTTAACAACTGAGCCACCCAGGCGCCCAAGTTAAAAAAATTTTTTAAATGAGGGGTGCCTGGGAGCCTCAGTCGGTTAAGCCTGTTTAAGGTTTGCTCTCTCTTCTCTCTCTCCCTCTGCCCCTCCTCCTTTTCTCTCCAAAAAAAAATATTTTTATTAATGAAATTGCACTGTATACCCGTTAGGATGGCTAAAATCAAATTAGAACTCTCATACATAAAAGATTAAACCGAGTGAACATATGACTCAGCAATTCCATTCCCAGGTATGTATGTACGTGTGTGTGTATATATATGTACATACAAGAGAATTGAAAACATCTGTCCACACAAAACCTTGTACACGAATGTTCATAGCATCATTATTCATAATAACCAGAAGGTAGGCACAACCCAAATGTCCATCAGTTAATGATGAATGGATAAACAAAATGTGTATCTCTACAATGGAATATTCAGTCATAAAAAGGAATGAGGTACTGGTTGATGCTACAACATAGATGAACTTTGAAATCATTGTGCTAAGTGAAAGAAGTCAGCCACCAAAGACCACATCTGTATAATTCCAGGTATATGAATTGTCCAGAATAAGCAAATCTATACAGACAGAAAGTCTATTTGTGGCTGTCTTAGAGCTGGGGTGGGCGTGGAGGGAAGTTGGAGGAGATAGGGAGTGACTGCTCATGGGTTCGGGGTTTCTTTTAGGAGTGCTGTAAACGCTAAAAATGAGTAAGGGACAGGAGGGGCCAGGTAGGAAGAGATAGGTAGGGGGCTGTGTGATCAGGCTCACCAAAAATCCCAGAAATGCTGACACGTAAGGAAACCAGAGATAGGGAACAGAACCAGACCACCTCGTTTGCCTTAAACATCAGAGATGAGATATTCGAAGGAGAAGTCATCATGGTGCTATCAGTGGTGACGTCAAGAAGATTTCAGTTCCCCGGTCAGTCTTCTATAAAAGACTGACCATAAAAGACCTCAGTGGCAACCCGCTCGGAACCCCTCTCTAGAGAGTTTTTTCTTTCCTTCCTGTTCTCACCTTCTCTTAATAAACTTTTACTTCACCTCACCCTTTTGTGTCCACGAGATTCATTCTTCGACTCCGTGAGACAAGGACCCTGCAACCCTGCAACAAAAAGAGTGATTATACAAAACAAACACATACACACACATTGAATTGTATATTTTTAAATGCGTGAACTGTGTGGTATGTGCAATCTCTCATTTTTTAAAGATTTTATTTATTTATTTGACAGAGACAGCGAGAGAGGGAACGCAGGCAGGGGGAGTGGGAGAGGGAGAAGCAGGCTTCCCGCCGAGCAGGGAGCCTGATGCCGGACTCGATCCCAGGACCCTGGGATCATGACCTGAGCCGAAGGGAGACGCTTAACAACTGAGCCACCCAGGCGCCCCTTGTGCAATATATCTCAATAAAGCTGTTATTTTTTTTTTAACTGTTCAGCATTACCAGGCTGTTATCAGAATCTATCAGAATCCTGTCAGAATCTTTGGTGGGCAGGCCCCAGCTCTGCATTTCCCCAGAACACACTGAATGAAGTTCAGCCTAACACCGTGCCTTACAAGACTATGATTCAGAGTCTTGTGGCTCCGGGCTTCCTGAAATGAATGAAATGGAAGGTCTGTAACTCTGAAAGAGCAAAGGTCTGGGG